TTTCCAAACAAATGAGCTCAGACCACCACCTGAACTCCTTGGGGAATATATGGAAATCGCTGGGTCCTGCACGGGACAGCATAACCCCCCAGTCCTTCTGGAATATTAAGGACAAACAGGGGCAGTTGTCCAGTTCTCAGCAGCTCCCACTTCCCATGTTCTTGGGGGACCATCGACAGCAGAAATGCAACCAGTTCTGGGGTCTTCCCTCTCTGCACAGCGAGTCCCTGGTGGCTGCTGCCTGGGTTACTAGGAGCTCTTCTCACCTACGGTTTCCTTCAGTTTTGTTCAATGGAATCTCGAGTTGCTTTCCAGTTCCAGTTCAGCCTACCACACCTTCAAGGCTTTCCCAGGTTCCACCCTTGTCCTTCCCTCTGGCCCAACCCCAACCTCTGGCTCAGATCCCGACCCAGAGCCATCTCTCGTTCTCCCTTCCAATCCAACCACCTTCTTCTCAGCCCCAGGGAAAGATCTCTGGGGTATCTTGCCCTAAATCCCATGATAAGGCACATTCTTTCATCCCTACTGAAATTCAATGTCTGGAATGGCCCTTGTTGCAGAAGCAACTGAAATGGAAGAGGACTTTACCCTTTGCAGCCAAAAGATCTCTGGAAGTCTTTAGCCAACTCACTCCCAACCTTTCCCAGGACAACAGGGCCTCCCAAGGCCAAAGGTCAGTTTCCAGTCCTCACAGGGACTTTATCAGCCCTAATCTCCAGAAGCAACATCTTCAAAGGAGGCTCCTCAAAGATGAACACCAGGATGGCCAGTGCTTCAGGATCCAAGTGTCTCTGGAACTGATGCAGGCTCAGGGCAAATTCCCAGGGGTGTGTCAGGCACAGGACAAGCAGGGGCCCTTGCAGCCCTCTGTGTTTACAGGTGGAAGCAGCCAGGACTCCCGAAAGATGAAGTCCAGGTACAATAGAAGGTCCCATAGGAAGGGTAAGTTAACCTTCCAACGAGGGAAGGACTTCAGCAGGGGTCTACAGCAATGTCTGAGGAGGATCTTAAAAGAAACCTCTAGAGGCTTAGCCAGCTTCCCAGCGAAGGTTCTGGCAATGAACCCCAAGAAGGAGTCAGAAAGATACTTGATGAGGCCTTCAAAGAG